AATGTATGTGTGATGTGAATATCAAACAAGAAGAATATTCTTTGGAAAAGAATCCAGAAAAAAAAACAAAAGAAAAAACTCAATTCAATGGGATAAAGAGAGAATATGAAGAGAGAAAAAACAAAAAAAAAGAAAAAAAGAATGGAAAAAAAGGAATTCTTGTATTAAATGGATTCTCGATTGTTGTTGTTGTTGTTGAATGGAAATAACGAAATGGAAGAAAAAAAACAACAACAACAAAAAAATTCTGTGAGAAAATGGCTGCCGGATTTTCTCATCATCATCATCATCATCCTCGTTTTTCACGCTGTTTTTGTTGTTGTTGTTGTTCTGTTATATTTTCGGTGAACAACAACAACAAATCGAAAATGGCATCAGAAATTCGGATGAGAAAAACTAAGAAAAAACTTGAAAAGGAATCAATCGATAAGAAGAANAAAAATTCTGTGAGAAAATGGCTGCCGGATTTTCTCATCATCATCATCGTTTTTCACGCTGTTTTTGTTGTTGTTGTTGTTCTGTTATATTTTCGGTGAACAACAACAACAAATCGAAAATGGCATCAGAAATTCGGATGAGAAAAACTAAGAAAAAACTTGAAAAGGAATCAATCGATAAGAAGAAATGGGGGAAAAATGTATTTAGGCTTTTTCTTTTCGATAATAATAATCAGATCAGAACCGTCAAATACCATTTACAGCCAAAGACGATAACAACAACAAAAAAAAGGTTTTTCATCATTCAATCTTGAGTGAGAAACTTTCCGAGAAACAAACAATTCTTTGCTTTTTTTGGAAACATCCAGAAGATACATTCATCTTTTTCATTTTTTGTCCCCAGTTGAAAATTTTGATGATGTGATTTCTGCACTTTCTTTGGATCGATTCTTTTCGGGTGAAACGAAAAATCGATCCAACAAATGAAAATGAATCAATCTTTGATTCTGGAATTTCAAATTTAAACTTGTCTTTTTCTTTGCTAAGGAAAATGAATGATGGTGGTAGAAGGGAATATTATTTTTTGTAAATGTCATATAGGATTTTCAAATGAAGATTTATGTTTGAAGAAATAAAAATGTGAAAAAAGAAAATGATAAACTTTGAAATTGAAAATGATTCTCAGACTGAAAAATTTCCAACAAACGAACCATTCATCATCCAATTTGGCAACATTGAAACATTGGGAAAGTTTCTTTTTATTTTATTTCATTTCAAAAAAAAAAAAAAATTAACTGAAATTAAAATTTTCAAAAAAACTTCCGGAATATTTTTGATAAATTTCCGAATTTTATTCTAACAACCGAGAAAAAAAAACCGAATCTATAATCATATTATCCAACGTCAAAATTTGTTTCATCGATCAAATAATAAAAACAAAACAAAAAACATCAACGAAATTTCAAGATTTTGAATTATAGATGAGATTTTATCATCATCATCATCAACATCCCTGTTTTTCAAACTTTTCAATATAAAACTAATATAGAGCGATAGATAGATAGATTAATCACTAATCTAATCGAGAAACTAAGAACAACAACAAAACTTGAAAAACAACAACAACAACAACAACAATAATATTATAAATAATTTACTCGAACAACAACAACAACAACAAAAACTAAACTATATCATCCTCATCATCAACATTGAAATTTTCGTAAATATGATGATGATGGTAACATAGAGACTAACTATAGGAAACAAAATTGGGATTCAAGGAATGTTTCCATTGAAGATCAGAGTATAATTTGAATTTTTTGTTTTTTGTTTTTCCTGATTCACAGCAAACAAAACGAAAAGATTCGGCTTGTAAATTATCTTGAGAGAATTTTCCTTGGTTTTACAAAAAAAAGAAGAAAACTTGATATCGATCAATCGATGATGATTATATGATGATCAAATTATAATGTAATCAATCTGATAAATGTCGTCTAACTATAACATAACAAACTAAACAAATAATTATAGATTCAGATCTTTGAATGATGCTTATTATCATCTTCATTTTATCCGAAAGAAATCTGATAGGAAAGTAATGCAAAATAGAAAAAAAAACAAACGAAAATCTTTATTCATCCTGATGATGATGATGATTAAGAATGAAACTATAATCAAAAAAGAAAAAAAAATGATTATCCCTCTAAAACTGAATGCAAATTATAGCACACTTTTCATGCTTTTCATTCACATAAGCACAATAGCATCCATAGATTGTTTTTTCACATGAATTTTAGTTGTTGTTCAGTGTAATTCAAGATATAATTAGGTAAAAGAATAAGAAGAAGAAAAGAGTATTGAGTATTGATAGGAATAATGAACTTACAAAAATGGACTTACGAAGTTTTTTTTGTTGTTGTTCTTTTTTGCTTCTCGATATTCGATAATCGATGGATTCTTTCATGTCTTTCAAATCAGATCAAATTCAGATAATTCAGATAGTAATAATGATCATTCAGTATCCTGATTGTTTTTTGTTTCGTTTCCCATGTTATTATCATATATCAAAATATTCATTTTTTCTGATTTTTTACAGTAATTACATGTTTCTGTTCAAAAATGTTATCATTGTTCCCGAAATTCAAAAATCAATCAATAAATCAATCAATCAGTCAAATTTCAAATTCAAATATTTCTAGATTCAAAAATAATGTTGCAGGAAAAAAAACAAATTAATAATCATGAATTAATGATGGCCTACTTACCAATTGGGGTCTGGTGGTTTGATTAGTTTGATTTCAAAGAATTAAGTCAACATTTTTGATTTGGTTTTTTTTGGTCTATAACTTATACATTTTTATTTTATTTTGTTTGTTTTAAAAATTGATAATAATATTATGATATATAATTAATAAATGATAATTATGATAAGAATAAGAATAATTAGTTAATTAAATGATGTTTTGGTTTTTGTTTCGTATATGATTTATATCTTGTAATGAATGAATGAATGACAATAATGTTTTGTAATGTGAATATAATCTGAATATGAATCGTTCAATCGAAATTGTGTATTATATGAATATAATTAGGAAAATTGAGAGAAAAGAAAAAACTTTATGTGAGTTTTTTGTTTGATGTGAAAAAATTCAAAATGTAGATCATAATGTGACGATATTGTGGTGGGCAATTTGTTTATGTGTTTGGTTTGGTTTGGTTTGTTTATGTGTGGCCTTTATTTCAAAAATGTTTTAGGATTTCATTTTCAAGAGAAAAATCAATGAAAATCAATGAAAAAATGTTTGGTAATGATCAAACCAAGTCAAGATGTGATCAAAAAAATGAAAGAAAAATGCTGATGATAATGATGATGATTGGTTTATATTATGCAAATTTTATTTCAAATTAAAAATATGTTTTCAAATTGGATGGATTTTTTTGTTTTTTGTTGTTTTAATTGTTATTCGGTTAATATAATACGGATGAAAATGATCAGTATAGAGATTCAAGATTTACCGTTTTTTTTCTGGGGAAAAGTTGAAATTCATTAACACACCATACACACACACACAAACGTGAGAAATGGGAAACAGGAGAAAAAAATTAAATTGAAAAATTCAAGAATTTGGCTGATATGTTTTCTGTTTTCTGTTTAATCATCAAAAAAAAATTCTGACTAACTAACCCTAACCAACCTTTGACCGTCAAAAATTGATTCGTTTTTTTCTTCTTCTTTCAACAAAAATCCATTAATAATTTCCATGTTTGCTCTAGTTTCTTTTGCTGGCTCGCATTCTTTTACACGTTTTTTTGTTTTGATGGCCAATTTCCAGGTAAAAACATTTTGACTGNTGTGTGTGTGTGTGTGTGTGTCTAAAACGTGATAATGAAAATTATAAAAGTAAAAATAAAAATGGGCAAGGTTAAACAGGAGAAAATGAAACAAAAAAATCAAGAGCAGATTGCACCTAATGTGTATCGGTATGTTTGTGTGTGTCTGTGTGTTTGGTTTCAAGAAAAATTTCACCCAAAGGTACCCCCAATATAATTTTCATCTGAAAAACTTTTTTTTTATCTCCAAAAAAAAAGATTCTAATTTTAGACTAGCCATTGTGTGTGTGTGTGTGTGTAAATAGTGTTTTCTTCAAGCAATAATTTTATGGCCCAAGATGAAGAAAATCTGGTGTGTCATTTTTTAGGATTTCTTCGGAAAAAATACCGTTCATTCATTGGAAAAAAACCGTTTTATTTTCGCTTCAATTTTGCCTCGAGGATTATGCTGTGTGTGTATGGTTAGGGGTTAAATTTTTGTTCAGTATTTTTTTTTTTAACCAAGATGAATGCCAAATCAGTGAGAGATAGAGAGATAGATAACACCACACACACAGGTATGAGGCGTGTATGTATGGATATTTTTCAATTGGTAGTGAATCGAATCGAATACGAATATGGATGAAAATTATGTATATTGAATATATGAATTATG